AAGATGTGTATAAGAGACAGCACACACACACACACACACACACACACACACACACACACACACACACACGCACATAAACAAAAAGACACACAAGTACACGAGGATTCGACAGATATGCATGAGAAGTGCAAGAAGACAATGTCGATGGCAAATTGTCTGGCGCGCACTGTCATGCAATGCAGGACACATTGTCGAATCCTTGTGACACATGGGGTTGTGTGGACTGCAACACAGACTGTCTCCCACCTCTTGCAGCGACATCAACCATTACTGTAGCTAAACAATGTCAGTGCCTGGTAACAGGAACATATGGAAAAAGAGACAGACACCCACCTACACTTCAGTATGAGAGGCTGGGAGGAAGCAATGAACAAGGTTGAGGATCGTGGAGAGAGAGTATCTTGGAACACTGGAAAGTGTTTGGTTAAGATGAATAGGAAATCAAGGGCGCAGAGGATAATGACATACAAGGCCAGGACGAAACAAGGAAGTGATACTGGTGGTTGTACGGTCAGTGGCAAAGACAAAGACTCAAGTCGACCATAAAGCATCAAAGGAGAAGCACAGGAGGTGCATCGCAAGGAAGAGAACCTGGGCAAGGAGGAGAAGGGAGAGGGGGAAACGCAGGCAGTGTTGGAAGAGTAATTGTGGGATCATGAAAAGAGCAGCAAAATTGGAACGATGCGGAGAAGACTACCATGGGCCCTGCACAAGGATGACACGCGTAAATTGAGAAATGGTCCTTTTTTTTTTGTAAAGAAAGAAAAAAAGAGCATCAGGAGCATTAACCAGGACAATGGTAAGCAGAATATATCCAGGAAGAGAGGGGGAGCAGAATAAGTCATAACACCAACTGGCCTAGCTCAGTTGGTACACGGACCAACTGTCGAAATACAGACCTCCTGAGTTCGAATTTCAACGGAATCAGATGAGTAAAAAACAACTCTAAAAAATCACTTGGCGCCATTCGATTCAAAGATGACATCTCAAGGTTCCCACCCTTTTCCAGGAAAAAAAAAAAAAGAATAAGTCATAACATATCACCCAACGCTTACGGTGCCCTACAGTTACATCAGCAACCAATTACGGAAAAGAAACAACAATCAGCATTCTCCGACTTCCGCTGATGCTCTGCAAAGTGTACGACTCCCAACATATGCATCCCAAAGTGTAAGATTCGTCGAACATAGCTAAGATCTGTCAACCATTATGCACATTTCACTGGTTTCAGACAGTTCCATCCCAAGGATCAGCCTTCGCTCACCAAGAAGTCATCATATGTCCAGGAATCATCTGCGAGCGCCGCGATTTCCCTTGTTACTGATTCCGTCGTTGGCCGAAGTAGCAACTTATGCACCTTTGGCCGGATTTCAATAAGCCTTGCAAGCTTAGTTGACCTACTATTAACATTTGCCTGCATGGCTTCCTTTAAGAATGCAGACCCCATCGACTCTCGATAATCCCTCAACTGCATCACATTGAGCCACCACAGAAAATGCGTACTGAGACTAGTTAGACCGCAATAATTTTAGCAATGGGTGGTTTCGAAATGCCATTGCATGCAATGGCATTTCTTTTGGGGAAAAAAAAAAAAGAAAAGAAAAAAAGAAAAGAAAAGAAAAGAAATGCCATTGCATGAAAGCAGAAATCTTCAGACAGTTCACGTCATGACAGTAAGCGAAGCTAAAGAAATGATCACAACGAGTTCACGAACAGCAAAGCTTAGAGGTCTAGCTCCAGAAACTGTTCTCGATGAAAGCATTGAAAATTGAAATTGATTGAATGATTGGCCTCTAATGCGTTGCTTTGTCCTGGGAACACCAAAAGATAGCAAATAGCTGAGCAAAAGGATGTTTGCTGGCTTCATGACAAATCCTCGCAAGTCCACTCGAGTCGAAGTTCGGTACCTTATACCAAACATAAATGCCTCCACTTCCAGACCCCGGTGACAACATGAATGAACAAATGGACAGCTTTGGGGACAAGTAGGAGCTGCACCATAACCCAGCTTTTCTCCTCTCCCAACTCTCTCTCTCTCTCTCTCTCTCTCTCTCTCTCTCTCTCTCTCTCTCTCTCTCTCTCTCTCTCCATTCATCTTTCCCCTGCCTCGCTCTCCTTTGTTGCCCTCTCTCCTTGTCTTCCTCTCTGTGCCCTCTTACGCCCTCCCCCGCTCCCCCCCACTTCTTCCTCTCTCTTCATCTCCTTCCCTACCCTCTTCCTTCTGTCTTCCTCTCTGTGTGTGCTCTCTCACATCCCTGTCTTCCCCTCCCCTCTTCCATCTCCGCTGCCTTCACAAACCTGATGACAAACACACAAGGCCTACCTCAAGCACTATACAGCCATCGATGTAATTCAAGGGCAGAGCATCTGATATCTCTCTTGGTATCCATCCTCCATCAATCTCCTGTTTATAAGCGCAAACCAAATGATCACACACACACACACACACACACACACACACAAACACGCGCGCGCGCGCGCGCAGACGCAATCACGACCAAACAAGTCAGAATCAGTCATAGCACGCAGATAGCACAACAAAACCACACAGTGCTACCACTACGCAGCCTGACACAATCACACTTTTCATAGTGAATACGGCTACATGTTCAAAAGTGTCCCAGAAGGCATCGGCCCCGGATGAACTTGACATTGATAGCACCAATTTATAAGCCATGCACAGCAAACCACAAAGTGTTACAACAATGGAGCCTGACGGAATCATAGTGAATACGGCTACGTTCAACAACATCAATAGCACCAAAATTTATTGGTACTGCCATATCCACTACGGACAAGTGGCGCAAGCAAGTTCCGAAAAAAGTGCTCTCCTGTTGTCAATAGCAAAGAAAACACACTCATGACTCAGAACCAAACAAGTCGGTCCTTCGGGACATCCGTTACAATTGGAACGATACACAGAAAGAAGATTGGCATGGGCCATGTGCAACGATGACACAAGTAAATCGAGAAATGGTCCAATTTGTTTTTGGAAGACTTGGCAGCAGGATCTTTGGACAAAAAAAAGACAGGGCTATGATTACAGTAATCCTAGTCCTTAATGACCAGATTGGATCAATGACCGACCGCCACAGCAGGGGTGGAGCAGTGGTAAATCCTTCCAGTTGGGAAGTAATCATTACTAGTCAACGCCGCTGTCTCCGGATCTCTCGACCATAATGGGGAGATGTGTTGATTGCGTTCATCTGATGTAAGGGACGATGGCCCCGGTTTCCAGTATTATGAATACAAAAGCCCACTTTTTGTTTAAAACACACACACACACACAAAAAAAAAAAAAGCATTCAATGTCATTCATACCAACGGTATAGCACAGCAAAACCACGAAGCGTTACCATTCACGAAGTATTCGCTAGGACGGACGCACAGTTGAATCATAGCGAATACGGCTATGCTCAACGACACACCAATAGGACCAATTTGTCACCAACACCATATCGACCATTGACGAGCAGCGTGCGAGTGAGTTCCAAAGAAAGTGTATGCATCAAATCAAGCATTTCAACAAAAAAAAAAAAAAAAAAAAAAAAAAAAAAAAAAAGAGGTCAATGGCCGCGGGAGCATGACACTTTGTTGTATCTGAGGGGCGGTGGACCCAATTTCCAGAGGGTGCGGCTCCCCACCAATAGACAGGAGCAGCCAGGGAGGTGTGCTCGATGGGGCTGCTCGTATCACCCCCTCTAGCAAGTGAAATTGTACATTGCTCCTCCTGATCTAAGTCAATCTCACTAACCCATCAAGACCCCTCTCTCCAGATCACTCCTGAAGAGCTCCAGCCATTCCCACCCCCTGATTCGGCCTCTCTCTGCAACCACCCCAGCCCAAGCCCTCACTATTGCCCTCTATTGCTGTATCTTCGCCAACCCCATCAAAGTTTCCTTTTCAGTACATGCCACAAGCTATTGCTCTTCCCGTTTACTATATTCTTGTAGCTGAAGTAGACTTACAAAATGGACAGGGAGAAATCCACACTCTGATCAATGTCGAAACGACTTAAACTTGCTTGATGGAGGATGCAACATGGATTCAAAAGCCATACCCGCAAAAAGCTGGCCGTGGAGCGATCGAAAGGAAGGACTGTAGCAGTGGACAGCTCGCTTGCCCGGGGAACAGGAGCACCTTTCTGGAAAAGAACACATTTTGCAAACACAAAGATGTCAGGAAGCAAGTGTTTCATACGGATCAGTGAGAGCTAGGTGATATACAATTACCACAGTACAAATGGCATCGTCCGACACTGTCCCGCCTTGACCTCAATACAAATACCTTGGAGAACCTAGTCCAAGATCACGAGCAACACCCAAATATTGCTGCCCCATATTACGAGCACATCCTCCGACACTGCCCGCGCCTTGAGCAGCAACCAAACAACACAATATAGACATAGGCTCCAGGACAACAACCCCGATGGATAGACAAGTTGGCTGATTGAGGGTAGGAGGTAGCAAGGTAGCAAGGCAGCAGAACAAACCCACCCCAGACTTCTCTCTCTCTCTCTCTCTCTCTCTCTCTCTCTCTCTCTCTCTCTCTCTCTCTCTCTCTCTCTCTCTCTCTCTC